TATTTATTTAGTAAAAATTGTGTAATCGGCAATTTAAATGTGCGAATGACTTTTGTGGCTCAATGGCTTGGTTGACTACCTACCTACGCTTTGGTGTGGCCACAACATGAACCACCTGGATTGTTGACTGGGATCCACACTCTTTTCACAACAATTTACTCCCACAACGTGTATCAGAGAAACTAAACTAAAGGTACGAAACTAAACGAAACCAACCTAATCATCAAAGTTAACAAGAACATACAATTAGAATAACAAAATCACAATTGTACCATTCCTTTTCAACCAATTATTGATTGTGTTTTTCACAAATTCTTAAATTGATAAAAATGAGCAAAATCCAAGAGACATTTTGTCCTGCCATTGAACAGTTGGATCTTACATTGAAAAAGTACAATTTTATTTCTCTATCTAAAGTGATTTATTTATACACATGGGTATCTTCAATTACATCAACAACAATTGCTGCCACTTGTCTAATTTTTATGTTTTGTATAATGATTAGTTCCATTCCCGATATTTTCAAAACTAATGGAAAGCTTGGTAATTTTTTAGAGAAACGAAAGACAACCTCTACCATGTGGAGGATATTGACACAATACTCAATTCTATTACTTTATAGCTTTTGGACAGTTTTTACAAGAACATTTTCATGTGTATTTTATATCGTTTCATCCATTCCTTTATTAATTCCATTATTAATGTACATGATAACTCTGTCAACTTATCGATTTTTATTACAGGAACTCACAGTAGTGGTTTTACAAATATGTAAAGGAGATTTCTAATAAATTATTGGATATCTATTCATTGAAATATTGTCATGATTCAATAATTTGGGTAGCAATCATTAAACACCACAAGAGATTCTAACAGAATTTTAACTAATCTGTACGAAATCTTGAATGATCAAATCAAATGAAACTAATCTTTAAATGTTTATTGATTCATACAACAAAACAAGATGGTTACAATTATAGTTGTGAAAATAGCAAGTAAAGTAAAGATTCCAATAGTTATCAAGGCCCTCTTCAAACCAGATGTACCATAAAAAGAGGAGATATCATAGTCGAATGAGTCAAAAAACTCAACGAACACTTTCTTCATCTCAGCATATAAATAATTCAATTCAGTTGTCCAACTATTAGAAGGAGGATCAATGTCAACGACAGTACCATTAGGTAAGAGTTTGAAATTATAGTCCATCAATAAACTTGATGAGTATTTACCACAGGTAACTATCATTTCAATGGTACCTGTAAAGTCCTTGGTTGGATAGATCATTAGCTGATTTTTTCTTGAAACTTGAAGTGGTGCGTATGTAGGTCTAAAAACTGCTGGTTTTGACTCAAACCAACAACCTTGTTCATCTTTTGAAGAAATTACACATGTTGTGGAGCTACAATTCATCAATGTTACTTGTGATCTTACTTTTGGTATTGGTATGGTCAATTCTCCACCAACTTGAATAGAAATTGAAGTTAATGAAGAAAGTGAAATTGTAACTGTTGCAAGAGCAGTTGTATCAAGAGGTTCTACAGTTACTGGAATGAATCCACGTTCAGTATTGTTACCATAAAAAGTAATACGCTTGAGCATATTATCAGGCCAAGTATATGCAGTCAACTCTGTGTTTTGTGGTGTATCATAACCACCAAGTCCTTGCCATGCAAAAGGTCCATCACGATTAATTGCATCATACCTTTGAATATATGTACATGAAGAATTGAAAGAGTACATATATGTAGAAACAGCAGTTGGATTATTTGGAATTGCCTTCTCAAGTGCATGATAAACTTTAGCATCTCCAGAAATAACGCCACAATTTGTCATTCTATCTGAAACAGTTTCTGTTGATGAGTATGTAACACTTGGTATACCATTAATATCATTACCAATAATAATAGGTTCACCATTAGAATCCACACCCAAATAACCATATCCCAAAATATGCTCAGGTCTAGCAATCGCATGAGAGATGAAATCCTTACTAGCTGAAATGGATAAAGCTAAATTCTTGTCTGAATAAACGGATGATTTAGTTAGCATGGATGCTCTATTGGCTGAATTGAGCTCTAAAATACGTCTTGTGATGGATGCATTATCAAATGAAAGAGTAGTGGTGCTAGGATTTTTACAATCTGTTGAAAAGTGCATTAGAGATTGTAATACTGAAGTTTGAGGAAGCGTTACATTAAAATTACATGTACCTCTTGGTGATTGACAATTAATCATTGATTCTGCGTTATTAACATTATTAACTTTTACCCAACCAATTCTTGAAACATCATTGGTGCTTTCTGAATTTACCATTGAATAAGGTAAAAAGTAAAAATCTGTTTGCGCAGTCAAGTCAACCACAACAAAATCAGTACTAAATGGGAGAGTAGATGATGTTAAATTAACTACAACACTGACACCAGAGGTTCCAAGTTTAACAACACCAACATTATTAGCAATAGGTATGGTGTATGTTAATTCTTGATAGGTAGCAATCACTGAACCAGAATAGGTTGGTTTGTTTAATTTACAAACCTTAAAACGTCTAAAAGCTTCAAAGGCAACATTGTAACAAGCTCTACTGTAACCTTGCTGTTTGTAAGTTGGAGTTTTATATGAAAAACTAGAAGGATAAGTATTACCAGTAAAACTTGGTGGTGTACAAACATCAGTACTGCTACAAAATGCTGTATATCTTGGAAGAGGATCGTCAGTATAATAACAATAGGAAGATGACAATACAGCAGAAAAATCATCACCTAAAGTAATATTTACCATAGAACTGTCATCGGTCAATTTAAAACAATAATTATCACCAGTATAGGAGGTTGTGAGAGCTGTGTTAATATTATACACACAAGCTGTATCAGAACAGGATATCTGTTTTGTTGGAGAAATTGAAACAGGAAGACAATCCTGTTGGTGAGTGGAAGAAATAGAAACCAAAAGACATGACAATATCAACAACAATACCACGGTGGTAGGAGTGAGCTGCATTTTTTCAAAGTCAATTTTACGATTTTGACCATTTTTACCACGATTATCATGACTACCAAAACTGTTAAACAATACATGAAGAGCTCACAAGTCAAAAGTGTGCGAAAGGTTTTCGTGTAAAAAGGTTGCGTGTGAAAAAAATGACAATTTTGAAAAGTGTGTTGCCTTCTAAAGCAGCACCTGTTATTGTTGCGTTTATTGGTGTGGTGATGGTATTGGTTCTCCATATTTCATTTGTGCAGTCCCAAATACGTTCTCTATCGACTTTTTACTCTACAGGTACATGGATTTCGTCTGTTGTTGTTGATTCTAGCAATACAATTTATTTCGCATCAAACAATAGATTGTTTAGTCTTCCAAGTGGTTCAGAAACACCTACAGTAATTGCAGGCAGTGGTTTAAACGTATTTTCTGATGGACCAGCAATGAGTAGTGGAATTCAATCAGTTAAAGCAATGTATTATTGTGCCAATAATGACATTTTATTTATTGACAATGACAGATTGAGAAAACTTTCACAAGGTATTGTTTCAACATTGGCAGGTACAAAAGAAGCTGGATTTAATGGAGATGGTATTCCAGCTGTTAGTGCTCAGTTAAATTCACCATTAGGTGTTTCAATGTCAAAAGGCGGTGAAATTTATATTGCAGATAAACTAAATCATAGAATTAGAAAGATTGATATCTTTGGTAAAATTACAACAATTGCAGGAACTGGACAAGCAGGTTATAATGGTTAGTATTTATTTAAATTCTTTTTTACTAATAATCTTAAAGGTGAATCACAACCAGCAGAATCTGCCTATTTAAATGGTCCAGCAGGTATTTTTCTTGATGAAAATGATAACATTTTCATAGCAGAAGATTTGGGACATAGAGTAAGATTCATTGATAGATCCACCTCTCTTATTGTAACGTTGGCCGGAACTGGAGAACCAGGATATGGAGGTGATGGTTCTTTAGCAACTCAAGCTCAACTTAATGGACCAGAGGCTGTTATCCTTTCTGGAACTGGAGCTGTCATTATTTCTGATACATATAATCATGCTATAAGAACAATTTTAGATAATAATCTCATTACAATTGCTGGAACTCTTGGTACCAATGGAGATAGTGATGGTAGTTTGGAAACAAAGCTATATTATCCTATGGGTCTTACTATTACACCATATCAAGCACTATTAATTGCCGACTCATGGAATGACAAAATCAAAATGTTAATTGATGAGGCCCCAATGATGGCGCTAGCAACAGATTGTAATAATTTTGCCATGGCATGTTGTGTGAATGTTATTGATCGTAATCCATTTGCTACTCAATGCCATTGTATATCTGGATGGGATGGAACATATTGTGATATACCAGTGTGTAATGGTGTGAGGGCTGATAGAGGTGCATGTGGTGGTTCATCTAAGGGAGATTGTACATCTCCAAATAAGTGCACTTGTAAGAATGGATATTATGGTAGTGATTGCTCTCAATTTTCTTGTCCTGGACGTTATGAAGACAGTATAGATTGTTATGGTCATGGAACATGTATTGCTCCAAGTACTTGCTCTTGTGATGCTGGGTATTCAGGATATTTTTGTGATCAATTCCCTTGTCCAGATTGTCATGGACATGGAGTTTGTACTGGTCCAAACACTTGCTATTGTCTTACTGCTGGATGGAAAGGTTCAGATTGTTCCATTCCAATTTGTTTTGGAAATAGTCAGGATTCAGCATGTAGTGGTCCAACCAATGGTAAATGTACAAGCCCTGATGGTTGTTCTTGTAACTCTGGATGGACAGGAAATAATTGCCAAACACCAACATGTACAAATAATTGTAATGGTCGTGGTGAATGTGTAGGTCCAAACACTTGTTCATGTATCTCTGGATGGGGAGGTGTTGATTGTTCAATGCCTGCCTGTAATTGCCCAGCAGTTGGTTATCAATATTGTGCCGGCCCAAATACTTGTGCTTGTATTTCTGGATATTCAGGTCCAAATTGTGATATTCCTGTTTGTAGTGGTGGTTGTGGGAATGGTTATTGTTCAAGCCCAGGTACATGCACTTGTAACCCAGGATGGACTGGTGCAGATTGTTCAACTTTTACATGCACAAATGGTTGTAACTCTCATCAACAGTGTACAGGTCCCAATACTTGTACTTGTAATGCTGGATATTCAGGTCCAAACTGTGAAAGTTTTTCATGTTCAAATAATTGCAATGGTCATGGAATGTGTGTTGCTCCAAACACTTGTGCTTGTTATTCTCGGTGGTCAGGTTCAGATTGTTCCATTCCTCAGTGTGATACTGGATGTAATGGACATGGTACTTGTGTTGGTCCAAATGTTTGTGTTTGTAATTCTGGATGGGCAAGTCATTCAACAGGTTGTAACACATTTACTTGTCCAAATGATTGTAGTGGTCATGGAACTTGTGATGGTCCAAACAGTTGTACTTGTAATTCTGGATGGACAGGCTTAGATTGTTCCATTGTTTTTTGTTTTGGAAATACTCAGGATTTAGCATGTAGTGGTCCAACAAATGGAAAATGTACAAGTCCAGATGTTTGTTCTTGTAATTCTGGATGGACAGGAAATAATTGCCAAACACCAATATGTACAAATGGATGTGGTTCAAATGGAGTTTGTACAGCTCCAAACACATGTACTTGTAATGATGGTTGGATGGGTAGTGATTGTTCACTTCCTATTTGCCCAAATCAATGCAGTGCTCATGGAAAATGTGTGTCTCCTGCTATTTGTTCTTGTACTGCTGGTTGGACTGGAAATGATTGTGGTATGGCAATTTGTACTAGTGGATGTTTACAAGGAAGTTGTACATCTCCAAATACGTGTACTTGTAAAGAAGGATGGAAAGGTACAGACTGTTCAATTCCTTCATGTTACGGAAACATTCAGAGTTTGGCATGTAGTGGTCCTACACATGGTAAATGTGTAAGTCCTGATATTTGTAATTGTACAAGTGAATGGACAGGTCTCAATGTGACAAACCAGTATGCATTAATGGATGTGGTAATTCAAATCAAGGATTGTGTGTAGCTCCAAATACATGTGAATGTAAAGAAGGATGGAATGGTACAGACTGTTCAATTCCTATTTGTTTTGGAAATAGTCAAGATTCAGCATGTAATGGTCCTACACATGGTAAATGTGTAATCTTGCTGTTTGCGATTGTACAAGTGAATGGACAGGATCTCAATGTGAAATCCCTGTATGTAGAGTGGATGTGGTAGTTCAAATCAAGGATTATGCGTAGCTCCAAACACATGCGAATGTAAAGAAGGATGGACTGGAGCAGATTGCTCCATTGCTATTTGCTTTGGAAACATTCAGATTTGGCATGTAGTGGTCCTACACATGGTAAATGTTTGAGTCCAGATGCGTGTAATTGCACAAGTGAATGGACAGGTCCTCAATGTGACAAACCAGTATGCATTAATGGATGTGGTAATTCAAATCAAGGATTGTGTGTAGCTCCAAATACATGTGAATGTAAAGAAGGATGGACTGGTACAGACTGTTTAACCCCTATTTGTTTTGGAAATAGTCAAGATTCATCATGTAATGGTCCTACACATGGTAAATGTGTAGATCTTGCTGTTTGCGATTGTACAAGTGAATGGACAGGATCTCAATGTGAAATCCCTGTATGTAAGAGTGGATGTGGTAGTTCAAATCAAGGATTATGCGTAGCTCCAAACACATGCGAATGTAAAGAAGGATGGACTGGAGCAGATTGCTCCATTGCTATTTGCTTTGGAAAAACTCAAGATTCAGCATGTAATGGTACAAATGGTAAATGTGTTAGTCCAGATGCCTGTAATTGCACAAGTGAATGGACAGGATCTGAATGTGAAAAACCAGTATGCATTAATGGATGTGGTAATTCAAATCAAGGATTGTGTGTAGGTCCAAACATTTGTAGATGTAAAGAAGGATGGACGGGTAAAAATTGTTTAACTCCAATCTGTTTTGGAAAGGTAAATAACGCAGCCTGTAATAGTATACTACATGGACAATGTGTTTCTCCAAATGTTTGCCAATGCAATTCTGGTTGGATGGGACGTAATTGTACAATTCCTGTTTGTTTTGATGAATTTGGTGCTGTTACTGCATGTGGTTCTCCACAAGTGGTATGTGAATTGGGTTGGACAGGTATTGATTGTTCTGTTCCTGTTTGTTTTGATATTAATAATCCAGGTTGGGCAGGAGCAGATTGTACCACTCCTATTTGTTATGGAAAAATCAATCCAAGTGCTTGTAGTGGTTCCTCTCATGGAAAATGTATTGCTCCTAATTTTTGTAAATGTGATCCAAAATGGATGGGAAAGGATTGTTCACAAACTGCATGCTTTGGAATTTCACAATTCGATAATAATGTATGTAATGGAAGAGGAAAGTGTATTGATTATAATACGTGCCATTGTAATGATGGTTCTAGTGGCAACGCTTGTGAAAAACAAGATTTCTCATGGCAATATGTTATTGCCACTGCAATGATTTTATTGCCAACAATTGTTGTCTACTACTTTTCAAAATCCGAGTATTTTAAATAATCAATCTCTTGGTAATGTTATTGGCTGAGTGCATTTTTTTCTTAAAAACCATCAAGGCGAAATTAAGGCTCGGCTAAGAACTGAACAACAAAGAGGTGAATAATAAATTGCTTAAATAATTGTTCATCTTGGATTAGAACAACCATTCCGGTGATAATATGTTAATTCTATTTTTTCCAAACTTCATAAAAAAATATTCAACATTTCTTCTACTCAAGGAGACATGATGATTTTCGGAGTGGTTTTACATCATGAAACCACCAAACTTTCACATCATCATCTCAACATGATCTATATAGTAATAATAATAGTAATTTTTATTGGTGGATTATCATCATGAAATTGGAATTTATTTTTCATGATGGAAAATCATAAGTTGGTGTTCCATCATCGGATCATTCACCAACCATCGTCATTATTGTTTTCCATCAATATAATAATAGTATTTGTGGAAATTAATTTTTAGTAATGTAATTTTGGTGAAATGTCAAAATTTTCACTAAATTCATCATCACTGCTGGATCTACTGGACAAGTTGGAAAACTGTCAATGTATTATTGTTCGGAATGGTCAATAGTAGGTAGGAGAACTTTCTCTTATCAATTTTGGTCAAGTTATGATAGGGATAGGTACATGTGAATTTTGAAAAAGTACATGGACCATAACTCAACATGTACTTCACCAACTTAAATCATGTCTTTTAGTACTACTGTTTAAATAGATAATAAACATCATATTTATTATCAGATTTTCGTCATGTTGTCAATTTACCAAGTTCCGATATTTCATGCTACCAGAGTTGATTCATAGCCCAATTACAAATCAAACAACAATAAAACAACAATAAAACAATAATCTAGGTCTTAATGCCCATTAATACTAGATATTAAAAAGTAATCTTCCTTTTTTTCCTTGCATTGGATCCATGACAGAATATTCTTGAAAATAGCAGGTCTTTTGAATAAAATTTGAGCTCTAACACAATCATTTATTATGTTTTTGAGAAAACAGAGAGTTATTACGTCACAATGTACGAAGTGAGACTCAAGAAGAAGACATACTGAAATAATAACTTAATAAACAATTTAATTATCTGATGCAAAACCAAGGACAGACTCTCTAAATTGTTGAACAGGATTAGCACCACAAAATAGAATCTTAATAAACTGTGCTTTCCAACCGTCTTCAACATCCTCAAAAAATCGGAAACAAATATAACAAATCAACCACAAAATTACTTGCAAAACACAAATTCCCAATGCACCACTAGCTACTGAAAGTTTAGGCAATGGATCTCTTGCACCCTTTCCAAACATGTATGTAAAAGGATCACCAATTAAAAAGAGAGCACTAACCAATGCCAAAACAAATGAACAAAAAACTGAAACAACACAAAAACCAACCAATACTCTACTGAAGCGTAATTTAACCTCTTTGTTTCTGACACCAACTACAAAATTAGAAAAAAAGGAAATGCCTGCAGGAATTGCAATTACAGTCAAGTAATTTCTAAAAAATTCATTGGTATTACTAAAGAAAGAAACAAAGAAAATTATTAAGTTTTCTCTCTCAGTTGGAGGATGATCATTATCATATGATACTTGTATAGTATTATAATTTGGATCTGTCAATAACTTTGAAACCAGTGTCCAGAAAACAGCATACGAAATTGAACTCAAAATAATCATTAAAAAAGAGATGAAACTAATGAATTTACCAACAATAATGGTAATGAATTCATCTTTTAACCAATTGTACATTTCATCTTCCTTTCCTTCCTTATCTTGAACTGCTTGAGCATATGGTAGAGGTAGAGTAAGCTTTTCAAACCTGGCTTCATGGTCTCCTAAACTTTCCATTTCCAATAACATATTAACAATATTGCCTTCTGACTTTTTTGTTGATGTTCGTGTATGTGGTGTTTTTGGTGTTGGAGTTATAATGGTGGTTGCTTCTCTAAAGTTGGGGTTTTGCATTTTTTTTTGAATTTTTTATTATTTATATTTTATCAAATTTTTTAAAATTGTACAAAATGGGTGCACATACATAAAAAGAAAGTAAACTCTTTAATATTAAATAAATTTTTTTGGAAAGAGCCATACATATTCGTTTTGAAAATGATTTGCTGCTCTTTGTGAAACTTCATACTCACCAAAATTCATACCATCATTATATTGAGATGATGATGAAAATATTCTTATACTGTTTTCACTTGCTTTAATTATTTGTAAATTTGGAAATAATGGTTGCAACCACCATGTATGGTTATTATCAAAACAATTACGAATTAGTAAAGTTTTCAATTTTGGTAAATTTGATATTTGAAAGAAATTTAATTCTTTCAAATTATGTGAATGAATTGAAAGTGTAGTTAGTGAATTAAAAGTAAAAGATGTTTCACTATAAAATTCCAATCTAATATAAAGGTATTCTAAATTTGGTAATTTACAAAGTAATTTCAAATCAATTTCGCTAATAGGATTACGAAATGTTAAATCTCTCAATGTTGATATTTCAGATATGTGATGAAATATATTCTTATTATATTTTAAAGAAATGTTAAGAATTAATATTTCTAAATTTAATTTACTCAATTCTGATAAATCAATATTATATTCTGATTCAAAATAAAAATATTTAATATTTTTAAATGATTCCACATTTAATCTATCAGGTAACGGAGTTTCCTTTATAAGATTTAAATGTAAATATTTTAGAGATGGCATTTTCACATTAGAGGCCAAATCCCATGGTTTTGAATATTTTGTAGTGGAATGATGTTTTTTTGCATATTCATCTATATATAATAATTCTAATGAAGGAAGATTATCAATATTTGTCATCATTTCTGTTCTATTTAAAAATAATTTTTTTAAATTTTGTAAATTTTCACTCGAATTAAATTGTAATTTTTCAATAACTTTTCTAATAGTTCCAAATCCAAATTCTTGTAATTTTGAAATATTATTTGAATTTAATACATTACTAATTGATTCTAATGTATAAATATAGGTAATATCAAGAAATAAATATTTTAAATTTGGAAATGAATTAAAATCAAACGTAAAATTATTTAATTTTCCATTACTTGTTGTATAATATTCTTTTACAAATATTCTAATATCAATGAGATTGGATATTGTTGATGGATTAAATATTCCATTTAATAATTTTACAATTTTTTTTTGATTTTCAGGTAATAATTGTAAATGGAGTGTTTCTAATTTATGACAATGTGTACTCAGAAATGATTCCGTGTTAATTAAACATTCTGTTACTCCCATTCCTAAACTTAAATATTTCAAATTTGGAAGTGCATTAAATAAAGCACGTAAATCTTTCTTTTTCATTTTACAATTTAATCCTAATTCAGTAATATTGGATTGTTTTACAGAATTGAATGGTATATTATTTTTAACAATACAAGAATCAATAAATAAACTTTGTAATTTCATTGAAGAAAGTAGAGTTTTAAATGTTGATTTTGGTATTGTTTGAAACAAATTCAATGTTATGGAAGAAAAGAATTGAAAAAATTCAAATGCATTAGTAATAAATCTATAATAACCTATTGAATAAGAGTTTAAAATAAAATTTGTAAATTCCTTTCGGAATGGTTGTTGAACAACAAATCTCCAATATCTACAAACAAATGATATTTTAATATAATCTTGTTGATTAAGAAATTGAAATATTATTATTAAAATATCATTAGGAATAAAATTATTGTTATCACTATTATTATAATTATTGTTATCACTATTATTAGTATTATTATTGTTATTATTCTTGTTATTGTTGTGTGTCAAAGCCTTGTGTAAAAAAGAAAGCATTTTTTTTAAAAGTCATGAGGAGGAATATGCCTTCCTTTTAAAATATTGAAACATTGAATCGTTCGTGTATTTAAATTTTCCAAACATAGCAACCAACTCAATTGAGACATTAAATTATTGTTGGTTGTGTTTAAAAAAAAATGTTACCAGCAGAAAGAACGGATCGTTTCAATAAGAAGGAGGCTCAAAAGAAAAATGGAAATTTCTTGCAAATTCAAAGGAATGAATTACGTATGGAAGAGTTAAGAAAACAAATTGAGGAGCTAAAGATCGAAAATTCATTACTATATGAACAAAGTATTGAATTGGCCAACACTCAAGAAACATTAAAGAATACTAATGATGAGTACAAACGTGAAAATTCAAAATTAGAACAAGAAAACATTGAACAAAAGAGTGATTTGGCCAAAATTAAAGGACTAACTAAATTCTTACCTCCTGAATTTACTGCAACTGATGGTTTTGAAGTTAGTCAACAAGTAACCACTACAAATGTTAAGAATGAGAATAGATCAAGATTGTGGTGTTTTTCACTTTTACAATTTATTACTTTAATGATTTGTGCAGCAACTTTGACACTTTATTGGATTAACGCTTCAAGATTATATACAGAACCTAACATTATTAAGATGGTAACTGCTGAATTTGAGTGTCCCGCCAATAATTCTACTGTTAATTCAACAACAACTGATATTATTAGTTTCTATTCTACTACTAATTCAACTAGTAATGATAGCACTACTGAACCAATTACAAAAAGAACAGAGGTTGCAACTATTGAAAGCGTTACAGGTTGGATCATGGTCTTGGATTTTTTTAGAACTTACTTGATGATTTTGATTATTCCTTCTTCAATTATTTGGTACACTTACTATACAGAAGATTATGAAACCAAAGAATTGAAACACAAATCAAACAAGTGTAATTTTACTTGTCAAGCCTTTATATGTTCACTTGCATTTGTATTATTGTTAGGATGTTTAATTTTCTTTGGTTATGCTGAGAATACTCTTTCATGGCAATGTCCAACAGTATCAAATCCATTGGTTATTTATCTTTCTATGGGAATGTTTTTATGCTCTCTTTTATCTATTATTTTGTACTTTATACAAACTTGTTGTCACTCTAGACTATTTAAAGAAAAACCAATCAGAGATGGAACTTTTAAAACAGGATTATTGGTCATAAGAAATATTAACAAGTTGCATGGCATTACAAAAAAAAAATAAATATGCTATTTGTTTTTAATTCCAACTTTATTGTTCATGTTTTACCATCAAACATGTTTGAAATTGACGTTAATCTGGTGATGAGCCTGTTGTGTGTCATAATTATCGCACGATGAGACTACCCCTGTTGTGTTGCCAAAAGTTGTTCTGGTGATTCTGTTGAAAATAAAAGTCCTAAATTGAGAATTGGTTTATTATCTCATGCAATAAAATCTATCTCTTTTGAAATAATAAAGACAAAGAAAACTTTGGTTGACCAAGAGAAAAAAATCTTGTTTTTGAGATTGTTTGAAACAACTACATGTTGTACTCCTTAAGAGCTTTTTCACTACTTGCTAATGCACTCGAAACACCTTTGACAAATTGAAGTGCAATTGTAATATATGGACTAAGGAAAGATAACAATACTATAATAATGATCAAAAGTAGTGCAACACCAATGATTACTAAAACTGTTACCACTTGTTGAAGCGTAATTCCAGAAAATATTTTTGGAAAATAAATCACTGCCCATTCTATAAATTCAACAAATGTTGTCCACAAATTGAGAATAAAGTTAATAAACTTCTCTGCATTGCTAATCAAAAAGTTCAGAATTTTCTCCATTAATTTTGGAATGGAGCTGAAAATATCTGCAATGTTTGGAATAACTCCTCCAAAAAGGTCAATAAAACCAGTTCCTAAGGATTCAATAACATTACCAATTGAACTACCTATAGATGCTGCACCAGATGCCATATCACCAATTAAATCCCAACCTTCCACAAGAACATCCCAAAAAGAGGCACCTCTACGTGAGTCACCACAATTCTTGTCAGGAACAACACTACTACAATCATAATCCATATAACCCTGATAACATTTACATGTATCAACTGCTATACAATCACCATGTCCAGAACATACTTCTTTCTTGTCTCCTGAAATATCGAAACATTTTGGAAAGCCACACATGAAACCACCCCAATTCGGTTGACAGATACACTTATTTGGTCCCAAACACAATCCACGACCACTACACACAGCTCCTTCTACATTAATGTGAGTGGATAAAATGCTATTACAACTTAAAGTGCCACAGAATGCATCTCCATAACCAGAAAAACATTCACACTTATCAAAATCGACACAAACACCACTTGAATTGCACACGTTTGGATCTGTGGCAACAATTCCATTACATGTTGGTGTTGCACATAATTTTCCACCCCATGAATTGCAACTACATTCATCATTCTCAATACAAATACCCCTCGAGTTACATACTGTTGGATCTGTGGCCAAAGTTCCATTACATGTTGGAACGGTACAGAATTCACCTCCCCAATCTCTATAACAATTACACTTATCTGGTGCAACACACACTCCAAAACCATTACAAACAGTTAGTTCAGTGGCCGATGTTCCATTACATGTTGGTGTTGAACATAATGGTCCAGTCCAACCTTTCTCACATTTGCATCGATTAAGATCAATACACTTTCCATTTCCACTACATGCATTACTCTTTGCGATACACACTTCATTCTCATCAAATGCAAGAATTCCATTACATGATGGTATTGTACATAGTTTACCACCCCAACCTGAGAGACATTTACATTGATTTGGACCAACACATACTCCCAATGAATTACACACATTTGAATCAGTTGCTAAAGTTCCATTACAAAATGGAATTTCACAAAATTGACCTCCCCACATTTCATTACATTGACATTGATTTTCATTGACACATTTTCCTCTAGAGTTGCAAACTGCCTCATTGTTAGCCAATATACCTTGACATTTAGGTATTTCACATTGTTTACCACCCCAATTTAAATTACAATTGCATTGATTTGGACTAGTACATTCACCATGTCCACTACACACCAATGTATTATTGCTAACTATAGTTCCATTACTATCAGTATTGGTAGTAGCATTGGTAGATAGAATATTATTACAAATTGGTGTGGAACAATCTTCACCTCCCCAACCAGTTAAACAGATACAAAGATTGGCACCAATACAATCACCCTTTCTACTACAAACAGATATATTAGTGGAAATTATACCACTACATATTGGAGTTTCACATAATTGATCTGTCCAATTTGAGTCGCAAATGCATTCATTTGGTTGAACACATTTACCATTGCCATTACATGCTGTTTCATTGGTTGCCAAAACATCTCCACATATTGGAATTTCACAATATTGACCTGCCCAATTTGAATTACATAAACATTCGTCTGGACGAATGCAAAGACCATTTCCACTACACACCACTGTTTCATTGGTGGTTAAAGTTGAATTACTATCATTGGTAGCCTTAATACCATTACATATTGGAATTTCACAAAATGGACCTGTCCAATTTGAATTACAAATACATTCATTGGGTTGAAAACATTCTCCATTACCATTGCATACATAAGGATCAGTTGCCAGTGTAGAGTTGCATTTTGGAGATTCACAATATTGTCCACCCCATGTAGAATTGCACTCACAAACATCTGGACCAACACATGCACCATTACCACTACACACAAATTCATAAATGGCCAAAGTTCCATTACAAATTGGAATTTCACAAAGTTCTCCTGACCAACTTGAATTACATTCACAAATATTTGGACTCACACATTGACCGTTTCCACTACAAACCAAAACATCAGTTGCACTCGTACCATTGCAAAGTGGAGTTTGACAGAATTGACCAGTCCAATTACTATTACATAAACATTGGTCTGGATTAATACATATACCATTAGTGTTACAAACTGATTCATTTGTGGCTAAAGTTCCATTACAGATTGGAATTTCACACAAATAACCTCCCCATGTTGAATTACATTCACAGGTGTCTGGACTGACACAAATACCATTACCACTACAAACTGATAAATCTGTACCAGCTGTTCCATTACAAAGTGGAGTTTGACAGAATTGACCAGTCCAATTGGTATTACAAATACATTCATCTGGTTGAATACATTCACCATTTCCATTACATACATAAGGATCAGTTGCCAGTGTAGAGTTACATTTTGGAGATTCACAAAATTCTCCACCATATGTCGAATTACACTCACAAATATTTGGGCTAATACAGTTACCATGTCCTTCACAAACAGATATATTATTTGCCAATATTCCATTACAAAATGGAATTTCACAATACTGTCCACCCCATTCTGAAGTACAATTACATATATCTGGTTGAATACATGTACCATTGCCATTACAAACCAAAGTATCAGTTGCCATTGTTCCATTACAAATTGGAATTTCACAAAATTGGCCTGTCCAATTGGAATTGCAAAAACATTCATCTGGATTAATACAAATACCGTTGCTGTTGCACACTGTGTCATTGGTAGCTAACGTTCCATTACAAACTGGGACTTGACAAAATTGTCCACCCCATTCTGATGTACAAACACATTCATCTGGTTGAATACATATTCCATTGCCATTACATACAGTTTCGTTGGTGGCTTCAGTACCATTACATATTGGAATTTCACAAAATTGACCTGTCCAATTGTAATTGCAAAGACATTCGTCAGGTTGAATACATGCTCCATTGTTGTTACAAACAAAAGGATCAGTTGCGAGTGTAGAGTTGCATTTTGGAATTTCACATAAATCACCTCCCCATGTTGAATTGCAGTTACAAATATTTGGATTAATACATTCACCATTACCACTACAAACTGATAAATCTGTACCAGCTGTACCATTACAAAGTGGTGTTTCACACAATTTACCAGTCCAATTTGTATTACAAATGCATTCATCTGGTTGAACACATTCGCCATTACCATTACAAACAGAATAGTTGTTAGCTAAAGTTCCATTACAAATTGGAATTTCACAAAATTCTCCACTATATGTCGAATTACACTGACAAAGATTTGGACCAACACATGCACCGTTACCGCTACATACAGATTCGTTAGTGGCTTCTGTTCCATTACAAATTGGAATTTCACAAAATTGCCCAGTCCAATTGGAATTACATAAACATTCATCTGGGCGAATGCAAAGACCATTTCCACTACACGCCACTGTTTCATTGGTGGCTAATGTCGCATTGCTATCATTGGTAGCTTTAATACCTCCACAGATTGGAATTTCACAATAAGGACCTGTCCAATTTGAATTACAAAAACATTCATCTGGCTGAATACATTCTCCATTACCATTACAAACAAAAGGATCAGTTGCATTTGTTCCATTACATACTGGAATTTCACAAAATTGACCAGTCCAATTCGAGTTACATTCACAAATATTTGGACTAATACATTTACCATGTCCTGCACAAACAGATGTATCATTAGCAAGAGTATCATTACATATTGGAATTTCACAAAATTCTCCACTCCAAGTTGAATTACATTCACAAACATCTGGACTAATACAAATACCATTACCACTACATACTGTTGAGTTTGCATCCTCTAGGGTTACATTACAGAGAGGAAATTGACAAAATGGACCATAATACCCTGATTGACAATCGCAAGTGTCCAGTGAAGTACATATTCCATGAGAAGTACAAACTGTAGAATTTGTACTTTCAATTGAATTACAAGTTGTCATATTACAATAAGTTCCAAAGTATCCACTTGTACAAACACAATTATCACTTGAAATGCACAATCCATGAGAATTGCAAACAGTAGTTTCATTTCCTGAAATGTTAAAGCAAGTTGGAATTTCACATTGATATCCTGAATAGCCATCATTACATACACATGTATCGTTTGCAACACATGTTCCGTTTTGATTATTACAAACCATTGAATCATTTCCCAATATTGAAAAACAAATTGGAATTTCACAATATTGACCTGTAAATCCTGATTCACAATCACAAGTTTCTGGGCTAGTGCAATTACCAACACCATTACAAACACTTGAACTATTTGAAAGTGTATTGTTACAAATAGAAAGCTCACAACACACTCCAGCATATCCCTGACAAATACAAGGATCATTAGTATCAATCAGAGCAAATGATGTTAAATGGGATGTTTCACAAATAACAGTACTAGAATTCACCATTTTAGTTCTTACACCATCAGATTTCCATGTATTTTCAATCCTATCCAAATACATACATGTTAAATTGGATGATTTGGTTATGTTTTGTGAGTGTAATGGAATGATCAAAGTGATTGGCTTGTTCAATTGTTTTACAATAACTTCTTTACCACTATCACTCAGTAAAGAAACAGAAACTATAGCACTTTTAACTTTAGGTGTTATCTTATCAATATAAATTGATGAAAATAGAATTAATGAGCTATCACTGTTCAATCCACTTGTTGAAATCAAATCACTACTCAATGTGGAAGGAAGTGAAATTTGAATACCCATATTAGTATTCGAATAACTATAAGAAACATAAATATTCTTCGAATTTAAATCACCCAATTGATTTGCAACTTGATAATTGTAGGATGTGACATTTGTTGAAACAGCTATTGAACAATAAGATCCAATCCAACCGTAATTGCAAACACAAGTTTCTGGACTAGTACAATTTCCAACACCATTACAAACCTTCTTACTTGTAGCAAGTGTACCATTACAAATTGGTGTTTGACAATATTGACCTCCCCAAGTTGAATTACATTTACATTCATTAAAACCATTACAGATACCATTGCCATTACAAACTGATTTTGAATTGGATCGTGTTCCATTGCATGTATTCACACAACTCATAGCTCCATTGAAATCTTGTGTAAATTGAAGAGTTGTGCCACATTCAATGATCTTTCTAATCCTGTTATTGGATGTGTCTGCAATTAATATTTCATTATTATTTGGAGAAACAAAAACACCTTTAGGAGAATTAAGTCGACTCGCAATTGACAAACCACCATCACCACCAAATGATCCATCGCTACTACTTCCAGCAATGGTTGTAATAGTTCCATTCACAAATATCTTTCTAATTCGATGATTCAATGTGTCAGCAATGTAAATTTCACCACTCTGTGAAACATGGACGCCATATGGTGAATTCAATTGAGAGTTTATAGCCAAGCCACCATCACCACCAAATGATGCTCGACCAGTTCCTGCTACTGTTGTAATCAGTCCGTTAACAAATATCTTTCTAATTCTATGGTTCAATGTATCAGCAATATAAATTTCACCATTCTGAGAAATATGAACACCATTTGGAGAGTTCAATGGTGAAAGAACAGCAAATCCACCGTCACCACCAAATGATGCTCTACCAGTTCCAGCAATAGTTGAAATTACACCATAACTATTAATCTTTCTGATTCTATGGTTCAATGTGTCAGCAATGTAAATTTCACCATTCTGAGAAATAGAGAGACCATTTGGTGAATTTAATTTTGCTCTACTAGCTAAACCACCATCACCACTAAAACCATCACAATCAGAATGTTCATTACAGTTTTGCTTTCCAGAAACAATGGTCACCAAATAACTTGACAGAGAAACGGAAAGAATTCTATGATTTAACACATCTGTCATGTATAATTCATTTCTAAATAAAACAGCCATGGTTGGTTTAAACTTGTTACCTGTTTGCATATTAATTGGTAATGTGAAAATTGTACCATTCATAAATATTTTTCTAATTCTTCCATTTTGTGTATCGACAATAAGTGTTTCAGTGTAATTATTATTGTTGAGAGGTGAAATACTTATTGAATAGGAGGGAGAATTTAATTGGGCATTGATAGCCAAACCACCATCTCCTTCCATACCTGCTGCTGCCATTAATCCACTTCCTGCAATTGTTGAAATATATGATAATTTAGTGGTGGAACTTGTAGTTGCTGCTGTTGTTGTTGTGGAAAAGATTGTCATCATCATCAACAAGAATAATAACAGGACAATGTTGTTTGCGCTTCTCATTTCATCCAGAGCTCTCTTCATTTTTTAACAGTCGGTTTTGGTAAACTCTTTCAAAAGTCATCGTTGTAATATTTTTTACATTTTTGTACGTTTTTGTGTATTTTGCCGAATCAAAAGAAAAATGGGGAAAATGGAGTTAAGGTTCAAAAAAAATAAGAGAGCATGTTGACAACTTGTTGTCCATCATTCTGTTGTTTTTCTAGAGAAAGTACCCACTATCAATCCATCGATAATAACACAATTGCCGATGAAATATTCTAAAATATTGCAAGTGAGTCAAGATATATTTTGCAATGTAATTATTCCCTATTTTAATTCACATACTTTGATTGCTTTTGCTGGAGTTTGTTCCGAGTGGAGAAGAATTGTCAAAGAAAGTGATACTAGAGGAATCAAGTGTGTAAATGTAAAACATAAATCAGCAAGATACAGATTTGAATCATTAAATGATGAGGAGGAAATGAGTGGATTAATGAAAGGTGACCTCTTGCAAATATTCTCACAAATGGAAATAAGAACTTTTCCAGAATTTGAGGAAACTATTTTTCTTAACAGATCTTTTTTTAAAAAGTTATTCAATTCAAAAAAATTGGAATTATTGACATTACAAAATACTAATATTATTACAATTATTATTCCTGCTAAAGATATTTCACCAATTACAACACTGAAATTAATAAGTGTTCAAATGGAAGTTGAGAATTTAAGAACTATATGCACTAATTTACTAAATTTAACAGATCTAACATTAATTGATAATGGACTTGATTATAAGGCAACACTTGTATTGACCAAATCAAAGTTGACTCGTCTAACACATCTTACACTTCGTAATCGAATTGGAGATGAAGGTGTTAATCAAATATTGACTCAACCAGGAAATATTAGAACTTTGAAATATATTAACTTTGTTGCAATACCTCCAGAATCATCTCAAAAAGACAATATTTCATACATAGCACCAATTAATAGTTCAATTTTACCAAATCTTGAATATTTTTCAATAGATTTGGAGATGTCGACAAAATCAATTATGAATGTGTTGAATAGTGGTAATTCATGGAGAGAATTGACCTTTCTTCACTCACATTTAAATAGTGAATGTGTGAAACAAATTGGAAAAATTCATACACTCCAAAAACTTTGTTTTCAATCAAAATTGGAAGTAGATTTACCTTACAGATGTTTATTACCTCTTCAAAATAATCTCACTCATCTAGAAATTGGTCCTGTTGATAATAATACATTCTCTGAATTGAGTGAGGGTAACTTTCTTAATTTGAAATATTTATGCATTCTAAATACAAAACAAGGAAATGAAATAGATGAATATGTAATACGAAAATTCTGTGAAAAAGTTCAAAATCTAACCTATTTAGAGTTAAGAAAAGTAGTAATGAAAAGTGGATGTATGAATCACATATCCCAACTTTCAAAAATAACTGATTTACGAATTATTCAAACACATATTGATAGTGAAGGAATGAAATATTTATCAAGAATGAGTAACATGACAACATTATATTTAGGAAGTGAAATTACATTTGATGGTATTTCATATTTATGCAAGGGAAATTTACTAAATTTACACACTTTAAAGTTTACAAGAGTTCCTTCAGGCAAGTTCAAATATGACTCAAAGTTTACATCAAGTTTAGCTCATTCAAATTTTCCAAAATTAAGATATTTGAGTTTTTATTATGAATTTGATATTTATGCAACTGATATGTTACATTCTGGACCATCTCTGAAAAATTTGATACATTTAGAACTTTATTGGGTAGATTTAACAATTACACCTATTTTAGTACCTATAGTCAATAATCTGGCACCTAAATATCTGACTGGAATTGGAGGTTTTGCAGCCCTTAAAGCAAAAGTCATATCACAATTAAGACAACCAACAAAAATCAACTATTTGATTGCATATACAGATATACGAATTGATGAATTTATTTAACAATTCTACAACTCTTGCTTCTAACACTCTAGAGAATATCATAAAATCAAGATATAACCCTAGTACAAATTGCCATACCACAATCATTTCCAGTCCAACCAGCATTACAAGAACAAAGACACACATTTTCCGTGAGCATTGCATTGATTTGGGCACAACATAAGTTAGAACATCCAGGTCCAAATGATTTTCAGAAACGGATGGATTTTGGTTATATAGAAACCCAACAGTTCTCTTTAAAATTTGACAACAATGTAATTGAGAAATATGCAGTAATGTAGTTTAACAAATCTGTCTGCAAAGTTTCCAACAAATATCACATTAAAGAATTTATTGTTGAGGAATTGATGGAAAATATTGATCAACTAAATGCTTTGAAAGTAATTGGTCAACCATTTCACATGGAATCAATTCTGGATAGTAAACTCCCATTATACATCCAGTAATAGCTCCATATGTATCAGCATCTGCTCCAGTTAATACTGAAAATATGACAGATTCGAAACCTCTTGGTTGATCCTCAAATACCCATGAAGGTAATTGAGGAGGACATTCAACTTTTCTATCAAAGTTTACCGAATCAACTTTAGCAGAGTGATAAAGACACCATAAAGCAATCTTTAAACTCAAAACACTCCATCCTGAAATATTCTTGTAATTGAAATTGTATGGATTAAATGTTTCGAACTCTTTCAAGTTTCCTAAAACTTTCTTTTCTTCCATTTCTAATGCCTTCTTTCCACCATTATTCTTAATCCATTCCAAAATTATAGGATGAACCTTCTTTTCATTACATAATTGTTTAAAATTGAACCATTCACCTGTCTTTCCACATAAAATATTAGTAACAGTTTCAGTAGTAATAATTTCTAATGGTTTTTGATTTCTATACGATTCCAAAGCTCTATGAATTACAATTGAATGAACAATACATGGAAGAATTGCCTCAAATGTATAATGAGTAATAATAGAATGTAATATAGTCCATTCCAATATCTGTGAAATGTCACTACTCAATAATGGAATAACTCCATTTCTCATGAGAGCTCCATTTGAAGGTGGAGATTGATTTTCATTAAACAATTCCAAAGATCCACAACTCCAATAATTTTCCTTACTTTGTGAATGAGCTCTTTTAGCATATAAAAGTGATTTTCTTGTTGTAAAACCAACATCCTTTGGTTCCTTATTGAGCCATTCTAAAAATTTATCACAAACATGTTCTGGATTGAATTGAGAATTACACTCGTGAAAACTTTGTAAAATTGCCAAGGCCATCTGATGGTAATTTTGTAAATATTTCAATAATTATTACAATAAATTTACAATAACATACATCACTATCATCTGTTGATTCACCCTTCTTCCAAGTTAAATTAGCACACAATTCAAATGGCCATCCAGCTTTTTCACTCTTAATTAAATTTTGAACTTGATTTGGATGTTTGAATTCACTTGTGGATCCCAAACAATCTCCGATAATTAGTCCGAAAATGGTTGATTTTTTAATATCGGACAAGTTGGAAGAGAAATTGTAATAGTTTATCAATGGGATAGATGAGTCAGAGGAGGATGGAAAGAGCTTGCGAGTAGTGGTACTTGGATGTTGAGACATTTTTTTTTATGAAATTTTTATTGTTGTAAAATTCTTCTTTTTTTGTAACGTGACGATATCAAGTTCACAGTTCATTGATGTAAATTGTAAACTTCAATAATAATAATAAATCTTTCTGTAAATAGTTTATTCAACTGTTGATGTTTCTTTTTGATACATTGTCCAAAATCTATTCAAAACCCTTTTGATAATTTCCATTTTTGGTTTTACAACAGTGGAAATTGACAATGATACAGAATCTTGAAATTTTCTAATTCTATCATTTTCATTTGCTTCCTTTTCTTCAGTTACTGAATAGATTACAATTCCAATAACAAGAATCACCAATGAAACAACATCAAACATACTCAATTGAGATTCCAATGCTTCTCCTGCAATGAATTTCAATAAAAAGAAGAGATTTGAAAGAGCTAATCTGGAAACAGCTGCAATGACAGCTAGTGTTGAACTTCCATATTGGAAAACATATAACTTTCCAAAATTAGAAAATTCCAAATATGTAAAACTTACTTCTAAGGTTGCGTAGGTAAAATTAAAGAATATATCTGCCCAGAAAACAAGTGGAAATGATTCACATCTATCAGGTGATGATCCACCAACAATTGAATTAATTCCAACACTACATTTAATCCCATTCCAAATATAGGTATTTAAATCAGACCATGAAATTGAAACTGTTTGTGGAATTGGTACAAAAACAAATACAGATGTAATAATACCAAATAAAACTTGCCAAACTGAAACCCAATAATTAACTAACCATACATCCAATTTTTCCTTTTTTAAACATTTTTCCTTATATACATTACTTGCTGCTTGTGGAATATTGGAACAAAATAAAAGTAAAATCCACAACCAATCCATAGATGATGATGAAGCAATACTAGATGCATCTTCCTGTGCAAAAACTGGATATAAATTAATTATCAAACCACATAAAACAAGTAAAACTCCTGAAAAGTGAAAAGTATTGTAACGAGTGTGGAGGAATGTGAAACTCATGATAATGTTAATGAGAATTACGGATTGACTGAGCATGGTATTGAGACTACCACTGACATAGGCTGCTGGAATGGTTTGGAGTGTGTTTGTGGCATTATCTAGGAAGGCCATGATTACATACTTAATTTGGGAAGTACTATTTTTGGAAATAGTTGTAAAAATTAATAGTTTGAATTTGATACATACTCTCATTTTTTTTGTAATTTTACCTCTCCATATTTGAAATACAACAATTGGAGCCAAAATTACAACATACACAACATTTACCAAATTTGTCAACATGTAACTGTTACTAATTCTACCAAATATGTTACATCTTTCACTACTTACATGTAATTTTGAATTTCATATGTTAATCTCACATATAAAACAGTATCACAACTTCTAGCAATGACCATAATACATGTCAATGCATAAACAATTAGAAATCTCCACCATTTAGATTTCTTACTTGGCAAATTAACATCTTTTTGTGCTTCATCACTGCTTGTTTGCATGTTATCTTGATTATCAATATTGTCATCATCTTGAATTGAAGTGTTAATTGAGAAATCCTTTGCTAAAAGTGCAGTTTCTTCTTGAGCCATTTTTTATGTGTTTTGTTTTGATAAACTGTTGAAAATGGAGCAGTGAAATAGTTCTACGACGGAGTTGGAGTGAGAATAAGAAGGATATGTGTGTGAAATTGGTAGAATAAAGTGCATTTTCGAATTGGAGGAAGGAAAATCACCGAGAATCAAGTGCAAATACCATTATCTATTCTCATGGATATGGAAACAAGTATTATTCAGAACATGAATTCCATACCAAGATACTCAATATGATTCAATTGCATTTTAAGGAAAATAAGGTAAACTGTAAAATTCTTTCCTTAACAACAATCATTATTCGAAAATGACTAGTAGAATTACCATATATTACAAGGAAAGAGATAAACTTAAGATGCAATCAAACTTAGTATGTGTTTAGAAATTACTATATATGAATTGGCGCCAAATTTTCCCGTTCACTATCCCATCAAAAAAAATACAACAACGATATTTTAATGTTTGTTGACTTGTTCCGAGCATGAAAATTTTCATTGGAACCAACATCAAAGCCTATAAATCAATACATGTTCGGAAGAGATGATGGAAATATTAACCTGAGAGGGGTTCTATCAACAACTATCAACAACTTACTAAAACATCAACAACTTTATAATTGCTTCATAATAACAAAAGCAAAAAGAATTCAATTAATATATATATGACTAGAGTATCACCCTATATTGTCGATCATCAACAAGAACAACCGAATGCTGAAAAGAATGATGATGGTGGTGTTGGAGCAGCACAATTATTTTCTGATACCGCCGATAATGCTTCTTCACTAATGAGTAGTAGTGAATATTCGACAACTCATAAAAGTGTTTCCTTCTTTACTTCTATTAAATTTTGTTTAATATTGGCAAAGTTTATGGTTGTCTTGTTGAGTGTATCAACATTGTCTATTATTTGGATTAGTAGTTTTGCACCAACTGTTTCAGAATTAAGTAGTAAAGTGAGAGATTCTGAAATTAATGTAATTATTAAGAATACTGTCAATACATTGAGTGAGATTGCTCATGTTGGAAAGATAATGAGACAACAAGTTTTAAGTTATGGATATGGAATATCAGATTATTCAAAGGTTGAAGTTAGTATGTATGGAAATTATAAGGTAAGACTTGTTGTTGTTTTTAATTGTCAATTAATTGTCATTTATTGTAAACAACTAACATGTCATCATCATGAAACAACTTACATGTATAGACCTCTCAAGAATTATATGGTGGTGTAACTATTGCTAGTTATATTGGAGATCCATATAATAATTGTTTTGGAACAATGACATGGACATCTACTGCATCAGGAGCTGCCACATTTAACATTACACCAACTGATTTTCAAATCTTTTATTGTGCTAGTATGTCAGATAATGAAAGATGTATTAGAGATTCAACTCCAAATGAGGTGTTAGGATTCTATGATATGAAAATACTTATTGAATCATGTAATAATTATCCAAATGATGTGGTATTTACACCTAGTTTTGCTGATCCTATACTTCCTCAATATACTTGGGTCAGTATGCTTTCATGTGTACCAAGAACAACACCTGATGCATATGGAAATAAGTTTTCTCTCTATTATGGAATGGATTTGACAATTACTTCCATTTCTGATTTTTTGAAGAATAAGACTAGATCAATATATGGAGCTAGAGGATTCTTTATAGAAACCAAGTCAAGTTACCTAATTGCAGTTGATAGTGATATTCCCACATCTAAATCTCTATCAGATGGAACTATTCAAAGATTTACCATTTACACAATTGATGATAAGGAAGTAGTCATGTTTTCACAAACTATTCTCTCATCAATTGGATCATTAACAACATTAACATGTAACTCTCTCAATATTATATCAGATTCATCTCATTACATTCTTTCATATAGACTTTGTACAGATACTCATATTGATTGGGTTTTAGTTTATGTTGTTCCTCAATGGAATTACATTTCTTCTACAATTATTGCTGTCATTATTGCCATGATTGGTAGTATTTTAATTATTTGTATTGGTATCATTGTTGCTACATTTGTTTCTCTCAAGATTGTTAAACCATTTTATAGTTTAATTTGAAAGTGTAGCGAATATGAATTTGGATGAAATGTCAATAAGAGAATCTGGTTTCTCTGAAGTTAAACAACTTCAAAAACAGTTCATTTTCATGGTTAATCGTATCAAGTTATACAAGTCATTCATACCTTCACATTTGTTATCTGAAATTGAGAATAATTCTGCAGAAAATTTACCAATGATGGTAAGAGATGACAAGACAGCAAGTCTAGCAGAAGAATCAACACAAGTGGGAGAAGAACAATCCTCTATTACAGGTTCAAGATTTTCACATGATGATAGCCATAGACAGAGTTTTAAGAAAATCAAAAGAAGAATGGAAAATATCAATAGATTTGCATTATATCTTGAAACTAAATCTGTAACACTATTAATGACCAAACTAAGAGGATTGAATGAGTGGGTTGAACATCTTCTACCAAGTGAAACTGTCATATTATTAACTGATGTTTTTGATATCATGAATGGCATTTCTAGACTTGCTAGAGGTGCTCATTTGAGTCTTTTTGAAAATGATTCAATCATGTTGAGTTTTAATGCAGTTGGTCAAGAAGAATCAAATCATCAAGAGAAGGCACTTAATGCTTCTAGAATGCTCGTTGAAAAACTTTCAAATGTAAAGTCTACAAAATGGAGGAATCATCAACTTTTGAGTAAGAGACCAAAACTTGCAGATGCACTCAAATTCAATTTTGCCATCACTACACAAGAGAGTGTATGTGGTAATATTGGAACCAAAGATTCAAAATACTTTACAATTATGGGAAGTGGAAAGAATAATTTGGAAAACATGTTACACTCTTCTAGCTCATTAGATGTTCAAATAGTTTGTTCAGATAATGTTAAATTAGTTTGTGAAAATAGTTTCATGATGAGATTACTCTTTCCATTCACTTTCTTAAATGATAGCTCACTATCTAATAGACAAGATGAATCAATCACAAGAAATGGATATGTCTATCAAGTAGGTTCAGCACTTGCCACCTCCAATGATGATGAATGGATGTAAGTAACTTAAATTTAAATCAAAACTAACTCATTTTAAACAATAGGTATGAACTTGAAGATCAACAAAAGAAGAATATTTGGAATTTATATAATGAAGGAGCACAACTCTTCCAACAACAAGCATATGAGAGTGCATTGGAAAAGTTTGAAAAGTTCAGTAATGAAAATCCAAATGATAAAGCTGTTCGACACATGATTTCCCTTTGTAGCATTCCATCAACCAAATGAATCAGAGTTCTATAACACACTTGTTTACTTCTTTTTTTTAGAAGGAGGATCATCATCTGAAGAAGAAGGAGGTGGTGCTATTGTTGTTGGAACTACCAATACCTTTCCTTTTCTCAATCTCTTCAATTGAGAGGGAAGTCCTGGCATTACTTGCTCTGAAAAAGCAACACAATGATTCTGTTCAACATGTGTTTTGAGTTCATTCATGCTAAATACCTCATAAACATTTTCCTTACAAACTTTACAATATTTAACATTTGGAGAGACAACTTTAAAGGCATTTGATTTAAGTGGACATTCATATTCCCATTCACAATTCTCAATGAATTGACTATCCTTATCAATTCTAAACACCTTATCAATGGATGTATTGATCACTCTCTCTTTCAAAAGTGGTAATTCATTTGGAAATTTGTTTTGCAAGTGAGTCACTCTTCTTCTCATGACATGCATCCAATTCTTTATATTCAAAGTTTGTGAATAATTTGGAAAATAATGGAGAACGATAGGTTTCCAAATGACTTGTTGAACAACATTACACGATTCATCCTTCTTATAATTATCCTTGATAGCAATCAATTGAGCATCAATATTCTTCTTACTCAAATCTTTCTTTCTCTTTGCAATGGCTTCAACTTTTTCCACTGTCAAGTTGAAGAATACTTCCAACATGTTTTTATCACATCTTGCAAAGTTGTTCAAATCTCCAAGTGGAAGAAAAGCACCAACTGCAATGAGCATATCCTTGTTCAAAGAGGTTCCGTTCAGTGTGGATGCCATTTTTTTGGATTTTGGATTTTTAGTGTCATGCTAAATTTCAAATCTTACAATTATGGCATGTATTAATTGGGCATGTAACCCCTCATCTTGTTAAAATAATCCTTTTTATTAAGAAAATAAATTCTCATTCATTCTCATTCCACCAATGAAGCAATAAAATCATTTTGATCCACTAATCGTTGTTGTAAATCTAATAAATCTTGTAAACATAAAGTTTCAACATTTTCAAATAATTCAATTGGAATATTTGTTTCATCTTTTTCAATAATATTTAATAAATCTCTTCTCATAACATTTATATTTGGTAAATTTAATTCCAATGGAGCAGATAGACTAATATAGGAATCAATCATTTTCAAAGCCTTTTCTTTTCTATCCTTTTTAGGTAATTTTTTAAATTTTTGAATATCAGTCCAACATAATACTGGTTCAGGTGTATAACTTCTACGTGCAAAATCTAGAAATATTGAATATGTTTTTGGATCTTTAAGTAATATTTCAGTTGTACTAAATGAAGTAATATTTCTATTTTTACTATTTATAGAAAATAATCCACCATTTCTAATAAAATCCAATCTAATATCATAACATACAGGTAATACAACACATACAAATATTTCAAATACACTTCCTGCTAATAAAACTAATAAGTAAGGTACAAAATAATCAACTAATTCAGCAATTATAGGAATACTTCCCAAAACAATAAATAAAATTACTAAAAATGGTTGAACAATAACATGTACAAGTGTTTCCTTTTTAATATTCCATGTATCTCTATCTGATCTAATACATAATACTAATGTAATCCATTCAACTATATAATAAACTAATGCTTCTGCTATAATTATACCAAACATGGCACTAGATCCAATACATCCATATGAGAATTGAAAAAATCCAGGAATTACAAAGAAATGAGGTTCATTTTCATTTTTAGTATTGGAATGAATAATTTCATCAATTCCACCTAAAATTATCCAAAATAGAATTTGACTAAGAAAACATAAAAAATAGGCTGAAATTACAAATGTATGACTTGTCATGAATTGATAAAATTTAAATATTCTCCATTCTTTTTTTGTTATTAATCTCTTTTCTATATTATTTTCATTATTTTCATTATTTAATTCTATATTAGTATTTTCATTATTATTTTCATTGATATTTAATTCTATATTATTTTCATCATTTAATTCTATAGAATTAGAAATATGAATACTATTATTTAATTCAATTTCTTTTATATTATTTTTTAATTCCATATTAGTAAGTGATATTCCATTTTTAGAATTAATAATTAAATAATTATCATTATATATTCTAGTTTTAAATAAATTTAATTTATAACTAAAATATAATTTTAAACATCTACAAGTGACAGGTAAACTAGTTAATGGACCAGCAACAAAGAAACTCAAAGTATATAAACTACATGGAAATACCTTTCTTCCAATAATTATTCGAAGTGAAAATATGACAACAAAAAAACAAGATGAAAGCATTGTTAAAAACATGTGTGAAATACTTCTAGCTTGAATATTACCTGATTTACGTTTCCAAATAATTGAAATTGATGTGAAAAATAATAAAAAAAGATAAAATATTAGAAAGGCTAACATTAATGCGAATGATACATTAGTATCGGGACACATTTGATTTTCAATACTGGGATTTAATTCTCTACTTAGACCTATTGTAAATAATATTGGATGACAATAAGTTGTTGTCGTGTTATTAGTAGTGGAATTAGTAGAATTACTATTCGAAAGTGCAATAATATTACTATTCGAAAGTAGTTGTTGTGCGATAGTTTCCAGCATCATTTCTTGTTGATGATGAAGTTGTGATTGTGTGATGTTTTTTTAAAGTGGAAACAGTCAACACAGATGATTATGATATTTCTCCACAACAATATGGAAATGCAACTGTTACAAGAGAGAATCTCAACTAGAATTGGCAGAGCCTTTTAAAGAAAAATTATGGCGCCAAATAATGATTTTGGTTTGTTCGAAAAATATTGTATCGCATTGTATCAAGGCTAATGATGATGGTGATGGTGTTAAATAGATATCATTTCTAAATAGATGTCAGGGAATTTTGCATCTCATCATTGAAACTTTCCATATCATTCAAAATGGAAATTTGTAATATTCGGATATGATTATTTAATACCCGAAATCCGAAACACCTTCCATTTAAATTTCTATAAATCGAATGAAATCCAATTTCATTAAAGCCTTAACACTTCTCATTGACCAATGTAATATAAATAATAATTAAATTAAATGATAATTAATATAAAATGAATTTAAATAAATAATAATAAATAAATAATATAAATGAATTTTTGAATAAATTTAAAATTTAATGAATACCAAATACAGAATGTAAAACCAATGACATGAGAGTAAGTGAAAAAGCAGATAAACAATGAGCTTCATATCCTTGATAAAGTGCTAATACACCTTCTTCTCTAATAATTTTTTTAGCACATTGAATTGTATTTGTAAATTTTCTATCTTCAGATTTTTTACATGCTTGTAATTGTAATCTTCTACTAATAGTATCTAATGGATAAGCTAATGCAGATGCACTAGCAATACATAATTGTGCTAATATAATTTCAGATATTACAATACTCCATTGTGACATGTTGTCAAAATAGAGTGATGGACGAATATTTCTCAATATTTGATAAATTAATGAAAATGATTTTCTATAAATTAAACCACCTAATATATAAGTAATAAATCCATGATAATGTGATACTAATCCACTTTCATTACTTCTCTTAATAAAGTAATCAATTACACCTGAATATTGTTTTTCATTATTATGAATATTATTATTACCATCATTCTTATTCTTATTATTATTATTATTAGCACCACCATAATTTAAATGATGAACATGTTCATCTACCAATAATATTGTTTTACATTGTTCTAATGGATAGGAAATGATTGAATTAATAATTGAGGCTAAAAGTGGAGAGTTTGAAATATTGGTAAATACAAATCTAGACACTGGAATGGTTGAATAATGAACCAATAAAACACTTGCTAATTGTGCTGAAAAACCTTTCCATAAACTGAGAATACCTTCTTGTTTAATTATTTTAATTCCACAATCTATTACATTACTACTATTACTGGTATTATTATTATTAGTATTATTAGTATTATTGGATGATGATGATTTTAATGATGATGGATCGGAAAGGCTTTGTTTAGTAGTATTGGTAGTAGTTTTAATATCATTTTGTGTTTGAAGGATAATTCTAATTCTATTGAATGGTGATGATATGATGGCACGTGAGATGGGACTAACAAGTCCAATTAATTGTTCACTTAGAATGGCTGATGCTGATAATGTAAATGTTGTTGACATTTTTTTCAATCAATTTCAATTATAAAAAGTTGCACAAAGCCTTCAATTTTATTATTCACAAGCCTTGATGTTGTTCGTGATGATATGGTTTAATCATCTAAATAACTTATGTTGAACAATAATGGAGAATGGAAGTCCGTATCATTTTCATCCAATATTATCATTTGCAAATTGAATTGTAATTCATCCAATTAAATATTAATATTTCTTTTTAATAATTTATTTTCTTTCTTTTGAATTTGGTTGAATTGAAACATTTTCATCTTGTTGTTTACGTTTCCTCTTTTTATTACTATTATTATCAACGTCAAGATTACCATTTATATCAATTTCATTCAATTGATCATTTTCATTCATGATATCAATAAATTGAATGGATAACATTTTTTCAATTAAATCATCTCTCATACAAATAGGTAATTGTTTAAATTTTTGTAATAAATTTAAATATTTATAATTTTCAATTGCAAAATTAATTAAATTAATTCTTAATTGTTTAAATAAATCCAAATCAACATCATTATATAAACTTTTAATTAAATCATAAAAAGATTCAATTGTAATATCTATATTATTATATACTAATTCATATAATTCATTCATTTCATGTTCATGTGATTTTTTTAATACTTGTATTACTATATTTGGTGGAATTGGTTTTATTATTCCATAACAATATTCAATTATATATTTAACTTCTATTGGATAGATATCTTGTTGACTTGTTTCACTTGATTTACACCAATTACCTGTAAAATAGGCTGAAAATATGTTGATGATGATGATAATATT